TCACGTTGTACTCGCCCATCAAGTCAACCATGAAGTACGGTGCTTCTTCGCAAAGAGTGGTTGCAACACCATCTTTATTCCGTCAACCGGCAATATCTGAGACAAGAGCATCTTGGTGGAACTCTGAATTGTGGCTTGCACGGGCAATTTCTGTTCTTCACAGGTTGATCCAGTCAGCATCATCTCCTAATTCATCAGACACTCAGTCACGAGTAACTTGTGCTAGACTGAGAAAGTTGCAATCGCCGCCAGCTGATGTGGATCGAGACGCGCACGTTGGCTTGCCTTGAGGTCGGTGGAATCTCCACCTGTACTGTCCACACCGATTCAATCTTGCCGTCCTCTTGTAAGTTATGCTTGAATTGTGAGCGTGAGGGATCGGCAACATTGTTGCCATCCTCGTCCAGCAAATCGATTTGAAGATCGACATTCGTCTTCGTGACGACAGGGTCAGCGGTCTCGTTGTACTCGGGAAGATCCATCATCTCGTAGTGGTAGTGCTCATACCACACAACATGCACTGATAGGATCTGATAGGGCTGGCCTAAATCCACCTGCCAGAAAGGATTCGGATCACAGTCAGTCTCCGCAATCCTGGTTGCGTTGCGGTCGCCTTTCAGCGCTGCTCCTGCTGTGTGGTTGCTTGTACTAGTAGAGTTGAAGATCGATGACTGTACCGCGGGCTTGCACTTGGCAACATCTCCATAGTGGAAGTATAGTTCAACCCCATGGGGTTGGATTGGCATAAGCGCTTCGATAGCGGCCTTGGTGAACAGTCGGCGTTCTTCAGCATTGGGAGGCGGCTGGTTTGGGTCACCGTTGACAAGTGCACCTCCCACTCTGTCAATGAAGCCGCCCGGACTCGTGTCTAAACCTGAATCAACCCATTGTTTGAGCTCTTGAATGAAGTCGAACGACGGATTGTGAACGACATTCTTGACCCACGTGAACAATCCGGTCAGGTACTTCATTTCGGGGAACTGTTCACTGCAAACTTGACCAGGATTGGAGCAAATGTCAATGTCTTCGCGATCAGGCACTTGATAGTACGCTCCCCAGTTTTCTTGAAAATCTCCATAGTTGCACTGATACGTCATCTGGAGCATTCCTCGGCCCCACCAGCAACAGCCGCGAGAACCAATATTAGCATCCAAACCACATACCATGGGCAACTCTTCATATTCGTTCTTCTCCTGATTCGACGGCATGATCTTGGATTCGATTAGGTCAATCTGTGGCTGAAGAGGACAACCTACAAACTTCTTGTTCAATCTGCAGTCGCTTTAGTCAATCATGCTGATGCTGGAGGAAATGGCCTTGAACGACTCAATGGCGTTGTTGTTGAGTTGCTCGACGAAGACGAAAACGTTATAGCCGAAGACTCTCACAAGCCGCGACTCATGGGAGACGAAATGGGTGATGTATACGTTATGAAGTTTGATAATGAACCAGCCATTGCTCATAAGGTTCGAGTGAGGATATCACATGCCGCGGGCAGCTGCGAGGCACTCAAGCTTGCTGAAGTCGCAGTGATGGGAGAATGCTTGGACGACGGTGAACACTGCAAGACATGGCAGAACTGCAAGCATCAGAACATCGCTCGCTGCATGCCCGCTACGCAGAGCTCAACATTTGAAGGAGGCATTGCAGCTCGGGCTGTGGATGGACACACCTCGCTGGAACACACAAAACGTGAGGAACAGCCATGGTGGAGTGTGGACCTTCTCGGGTCTCACCCTGTCACTGAGGTAGTCATCCACAATCGCGAAGATTGCTGCTTTGAACGTCTGAACGAAATTGAAGTATCGCTGTTGGATGATGCCGGCAACACAGTGTCTACCATAAAACACGACCCTGCGACTGAGGGTGTGATCGAGGGAGCTTGGACTGCAGTCTTTGCCGAAAACGGAACAGTCACGGCTTCCAAAGTACGCGTCACTGCCAACCATCCAGGCAGTGGCGAGCCCTTGAATCTTGCAGAAGTTCAGGTGATGAGCCCTTGCACAGATTCCAGTTGCCTCACCTGGGCAGATTGTGACAATGGCAACATTGCGCAGTGCAAGCCCGCAGAACAGAGTTCCACTTTGGAATCAGATGTGGCGGCCAATGCTGTCAATGGACATGAATCATTGGCTCACACCGACTGCGAGAATAATCCGTGGTGGCAGGTTGATTTACTAGGCCCGCGACCTGTTCAAGGAGTTGTGATTCACAACCGCGAAGACTGTTGTTGGGAACGCTTGAACGGGGTACTTGTGGAGCTCATGGATGACAATAATTCCACTATTGGCTCCATAAAGCACGACCCCGCCACGATGGGAGAGATCAAGACAATGTGGGTCGCAACGTTCAACAATGTCACGGCGACCAAAGTGCGGCTGTCTGTCGAGCACGAAGCTGGATCTTGTGGTTTCCTTAATCTTGCAGAAGTGGAAGTTCGCAGCAAATGTATCGAGGGAGATGCCTGCCTCACTGGATTTGGATGCGACCATGGTAACGTTGCCAAGTGCAAGCCTGCAAGGCAGAGTTCGACTTTGCCTGCTATGGACGGAATGACTCTCTATCAGGGTGTCGCTGGAGATGCGGTCGATGGAACAGAGTCGCTGGCCCACACTGACTGCGAGCAAAAGCCGTGGTGGGAAGTTGATCTCATTTACCGACGAATAGTGTCTGAAGTCGTCATTCACAATCGAGAAGACTGTTGTTTCGACAGGCTCAACGGCGTCATCGTAGATCTCTTGGATAAGGAGCATAATGTGATTGCCCGAGTGAAACACGACCCTGCCAAAGATGGAGAGATTAGAACGATGTGGCTGGCTCATTTCCCACCCTTGTCAGTGGCTTGGTTCGTCCGGGTCATGACGGAACACCCCGCTGGTACCTGCGGCTTCCTCAACTTGGCCGAAGTGGAAGTCATCAGCACGTGCGAAGAAGGCGATGCGTGCATGGACCCAGCAATCGAATGTATTCAAGGCAATGTTGCTCAATGCAAACCAGCTCGACAAATCTCCACCGTTGAGGGTGCCGTGGCAAGATACGCAGTGGACGGCGAGCAGAGGCATTCTCGCACGGACTGCGAAGAGCGACCATGGTGGGAGGTGGACCTTCAAGGCGAGTATCATGTCAGCGAAGTGGTGGTCTTTAGCCGTCAAGACTGCTGCTTTGAAGAGCTGAACAATGTTATTGTGGAGCTGGTAAACTCGACTGGTGACACTGTCAGCATGGTGCAGCATGATCCCATCACCGACGGTGCTATCAATGCCAGTTGGACAGCAAAGTTTGACGGCTTTGGTGACGTGGCCAACAAGGTGCGGGTATCCCTTCTCGAAGATGTGGGCGAATGCAGTTTCCTGAACCTTGCTGACGTTCAGGTAATGAGTACCTGTCTAAACACTGATGCGTGCTACTACGGATACACTTGTGGAGACGGCAATGTCGCTCAATGCAAGTCTGCATCACAAAGCTCTACCCGAGAAGGAATGGTTGCGACCAAGGCATTGGATGGCGAAGAATCCCTTTCGATGACCGATTGCGAAGTTACTCCGTGGTGGACAGTGGATCTCGAGAGTGACTATCCAGTCAAGGAAGTTGCTGTCTACAACCGACGAGATTGTTGCTTTGGTCAGCTCAACGGTACTCTGATAGAACTGTTGGACTCGAGCGGTGGCGTGGTGGCGACTGCTCAACATGATCCAGAAACCATGGGTGAGATTCGAGATGTTTGGTTGGCGCATTTTGATCCTGTTAATAGTGCTCCCGCACGGTCGGTACGAGTCTCCGTCCGGCACGAAGGAGGCCAATGCGGCTATCTGGAGCTGGCGGAAGTGCAGGTCTTGAGCGCTTGCCTTGAGACTGACGCTTGCAATACAGGTTATAGTTGCGAGCAATCTTGGATCGACGCCGAATAAAAGAGAAAGACATTAATACAGAGGCTTGCTCCTCGCTCTGAGAAAGAGCGAGTTGAAAACTGTAGTTTGGCTTGACCGACAGAGAGCAGCTGATATCGCTTCGATTCTGTTTCCCATGGACTAATAATACAATGCAGTGCACACTGTACAGGATAAAAGTTTATATACATATTCAAAGAGACATTTCATTTCACTTGCCTGGATCCTTTTCAACTAGTAGTGTTGTAGCGAGTATCTAGCATACACCTAGAAAGGACCCATTAGGCGGGGTCCAAAAGTCGCCAATGGTGATGTGTCATGCGTGGCCCAGGATGCACAATGCCCGACACTCCCTGCAGATACCGGTATCTCAAGCCAGCTCGAGGTCGTCTGAAGTTGGCGGCCACTACTGTAAAAGCTGAGTTGCTCGTCTCATGGCCATGGGCTATCCTTTATTCTCTGATGCTTGTTTTTTTTTAGATGCCCATGTTTGTCAAGTCTCCTTCCTTCTTCCCAGAAAGAATCTTTTGAACCTGTGACGCCATTGGAAGCTCTTGTTGGACGCTTCTTTCTTGTCCATCTTTTCCTTTCGTCGTTTTCGAAAGAAAGTTCTCATGAGAGCGGCAGATTCGTTGGCATGTACTCCTCGGACGACGTGCTGAATAGTGTGATAGGGATGTGGGATATCTAGCAGTTGGAGATAAGTGTCAATAGCCCCCACTCTCAAATCGGGTGCTCCATAGACAATGCGATGTACGCGAAAGCCTTGGGCGGCCGCCAAGCACATGGGACAGGGCTCTACCGTGGTGTAGAGGGTGGTTTGATTCAGCAATCTCCAAGCTCTCATGGTGTTTGCGGCTTTTCGGAGTGCCAACATTTCGGCATGAGCAGAGGCATCCCGCAATTCTTCTACGCGATTGCTGGCCGACGACAAGATTTGATATTGTGTTCTATTGCTGTTGTTGACGTAATGATGTTGTGGTAGAGGCCTGACCACCAGGGCTCCAATGGGTACTTCACCGCGATCGGCCGCCTGTTGTGCCTGCGAGAGCGCCAGTTTCATGAAATGAGAATCCACCCCATTTTGCAGGGCAGTGTCTTTCTGTAGAGCGTCTTCTGATGATGATGAAAGAGGAGGATGAGGAATGGCAACCGTAGCGGGGCTTGTTTGGAATCGTCTCCATAGTCGTAGTGGAAGAGGAACTGACCAGGGATGGACCAACGATGGCAACAACAGCAACAACCATGTGAAGATAGGGGAAGTCAGGAAGCATGGAAAGCACTGCATAGTCAAAATATGATCAAAATGGTCGATCCTGCCTCCAACAGTGACAGAGACTCATTGCGATGGGTTGAAAACCAAGCTAACACACTGCTCTGTCAGGAACGACCATACCACGATGACAGCACCGCTTCCCGTCTGCTCAGCGAAGTTAAGCATCGTCGGGCCAGGTTAGTACTACGGTGGGGGACCACGTTGGAATCCCTGGTGTTGTTCTTTTTAGATGATGTTGTCTCTGTGGTTGTTTCAATCGCTTTGGCTCTGTTGGTGGACCTGTGGCTCTTGGCTCTTGGTGGATGCATCGAATGAATGGCTGCGATGCTTTGTTAGTAAATTGTGAAAGGCGTTGCGTCGACTCGCGTTTAATCATGAGTTCCAAACGAGTCCCGCTTCAAATATCTTTCTATTATTATTTTAGGATTGCCATTTGGCAGTGACAACAAGTCCGGTCGTTCGTCGCTGCAAGGTTAAGATACAACAGGAGTGCACTTATACACTTGATCAAGATGACAGTCGCTGGTGTTCGTTTGGGCCGCATTGTCATGATGGTGCGAGGAGGTGAAGGTATCCAAAAAGCAGTTGACTTTTATCACGGTGCCATGGGTCTCACAGTTCTTCGCATGACGGAGGAAATGGCGGAACTCCGCTGTGGAACCGGCAACAGTAGTAGCGAGGATTCCATATCGATCAATTTCCAGGCAGTCCATTCCGAGGCTCAGCTGTCGACAGGCTACTCTCCATTGCTCTCTTTTGAAGTGGCTGACATGAACTCTGTCGTGGCCAAGTGCGTTCAACTAGGAGCTCATATCGATGGACCCATTCAATATCAAGCACACGGAACCGTCGCTGCCCTCAGAGATCCTTGTGGGCACATGATTGGTCTCTACCAACCAACAGCCACTTCCTGATTAGGCTTGTGCAAATAAAGGGGTATCCATTGTCATAACAAACTTGCGTGTTATCATTTGGGAATTTTTGTTCTGACAAAGTTTGGCTAGCTATAGCCAGGTAAGAGCTGAATGCATACTGTACCGGTAGAAGAAGAATCAAGAACTGTCATATCAAGGATCTCTTCTAGTAAAAGAGTCAACTCCGTTCAGGAAGATTGCGATTGCCAGAGAATCCGAGGCACCAAATACCCAACGGTACTACACGGACCCAAAAAAGAGAGTTGATGGGATTTTGATTGATTGGTGCATTGTCACCATTCGTAAGCTTCTATCACCGTGCTAGTCAGACTGTTGCCGCCAAAGCAGGCTTGTACGACTTGTTCTTGCTGATTCAAACCATCCAGTGGGACCTTGGCGGGTTCACGTTGCAATCGCATCCGGTACACACCGATGTACCGGTAGCGTGGAGAAAGAAATGCAACATACTGGTTATGAGTGGTAGTTTTCTTTCCTTACGGACATCTTTTGTAGCGAGACGACGTTGCGTGTACTGTGTCTGAGTTGGAATCGTCGTTTTTGCCGTTGGTTTCTCGGCTCAGCAGCACGATTGGTGCCAGCAATCATGGTCGCTATCGTCCTTCAGCATTGGCACGGTCCGACAGTTGCTCTCTTGCACATCTGCTTGAGTCAAACAACGATAGAATCGACGCAACTAACGTAAAAATGTTGCATTTCTTAGTTGCTAAACGGTGTAATCCACAAATTCTGTTGCGTCCAACGACTTTCCACGCAGTGCCGAGAGAGGCTAACGCGGTGTGGCGTGGCGTGGAAAGCTATTTATGCATTGATCCATGGATGGGAGGATTGCCAATGAACGAACAGGAGAAAAACTTGTATGTCTCGAGTGGTTGGCAGCCCCATAAACATGAAGGCAGCTTGGAGCGAGATGAGGTAGCCATTACAACTACTAGCTCGCATTGTTTCAAGACTGAAAAGTCATTCTTCAGTTTGCCATGGCGTGGAGAGCACCCCCTCACCCCTTGCTTGCAGCAACTGGCAAGTTCTTGGAGGATGAAGCGAGGCAAGCAGTGTCGCCAATTCCATAGTTTCAGCAAGCAAAATGCACTCTTTTTGGGTTGCAAAAGCATTGCATTCGATGGGATTTGAACTGTAAGGCGAAAATTGGCCACTCGGTCAGCATGGGTGTCATCAGTTTGACTTGGGCTCTTTGTGGTTCGAACTTACCCCACGAGTACGAATACATTCGAACTTGAGTCGAACCCCTTAGACCGCTCGGGCACGAATGCGATGAAGTAAAAGAGGTTTCCTGAAGGTATATATTGCTTCAGTTCAGGACGTACAGCGCTTCTCGCTCGGCAATGGTGTGCTTGTATGTATGTACTATTGATTTTCGTAGCCAAGTCAAACCCCAAACCCCTTACCTGTGTGATAGCTACATTGCTTAGACATAGATGCTGAATTGAAGGCTTGTAGATTGGCTACAGATACATGTAGACAGACAGATAGATACTTTGACTCTCTTCTTGAGTTGAGGAAAGCCGAGGAGCACTTCGACACCAACATCCAATGAGGCTAACCAAGACTCCGTGCGTGATCCACAGACCAGCCATGAGACCGCAACAACGGCTGATAACCTATAAAAGCATTCCGAATGGGTCACGTTGCCCCGGTAAACCGCGGTTTGGCATTCTTGTCGCCTTAGTACCGTAAAGCATAATTTTCGCATGATTCAATCATACCCCATTCTTCAAAGCTGAAGAACAACATTCATGCTCGAAGCAGGCAGATGGTGACTTCATCACATTGTGAGCTCTATGATCCACCCAACGCCGCTCTTTCAGGGATCACATGCATTGTTCCTCGTGCTACAAGACCCGCGAAACAAAACCGATTCCGGGCGGAAAAGGAATGTCCTGTCCCACAATTTAGTCGACTGTGCATTCTTTCTACTAGCTATTAGCCTACTCAGCTCTTACCTACTCCACACTGCAATCGACAATGATTTCTCCCAACACCATCGTCGAAGAATCAGAGACTGGTTTTGAACTCAAGAAGAGCGTTTCTTGGAAGAACGTTCATGTTCGTGAATATAACTTGACAGTCGGGGATCATCCACTTTGCAGAGACAACCTCCCACTCACCTTGGATTGGGCTCACAGGAACGAAAAAGTGAAGCATATCAATACCAGCAGGGAGCGAAAGGCAAACTATGTCTTCCCCAAGAGATTGAGCTACGAAGACCGCAAAAAACGGCTCTATGGGGATGATGCCAGCGTCAGTAGTGACAAGAGCCAAGAGAGTATTTCATCGGTGAGCACCTCAGGCACTATTCCAGCGCGAAGCCTGATGGATTTGATTGAAGGGGATAAGGCACATACCGAGGCATCCAACGGTGTCTTTTATTGTCGCCATGCCATCAAGGATGAGGCAATTGACGGAGGGAAAAGCAGCAATGACACCGATGAGGATAGCTTGAGCTACTTCCTTGATTGGCGTCGCTTTGCTGGTTACTAAGCTTGAAGCTGCTTTCTCGCACCAACTTCCATTATTCAGTGTTGTCCACCTTTGTTTCTTCTCTGATGACTTTTATAGACTGAAAACATCCCCGAGCACAGCCTCCATTCTCACTATTTCCTGTATCTCCCCTTCACATAAACCCACTTTTATGCAAATTCAGCTATCTCAACTATACTGTAGACATTTCTAAGCGAATCGTATTGAAACAGCTAATAGAGCAGGCGGAAGCCAGACCATCATCTGGTAGCGGTAGTCCCTGGTAGCTGGCTAGAGTGTGACATGACAGCTACGATGGCTGTGGCAGGCAGGAGGATCCAGCTGAAAGATGATGTTTGGTCTAGTAAGGCTTGTACAGGATGCTATTTTTCATTTCTTGTCAGTTGTTTGTGTATCAAATGTGTAGGTGCAGAGTCGTGTGGCGGGAAAGCGATAGCAAGGCCAACGGTCTCCATGAAGCTTTCTTGGGTGGGAAGACGAACCTTACGGGGCTTTTCACATTCCAGTGTATGTCTACAGTATCACGTAAGAGTCTAGAGGCCTCACCTTTCTGTAGAGGAACGGAACCCCACATTCCATCCATTGGATTTCACCAGTGCTTGCCATCTCCTGACATACCAAATGTTTGAGGCCACTGGTCGTGATACAATTCTCTTGTCTTCGGGTAGTTTTTGTCATCAGAATCATTCACATGGAGGCCAGTATCTGGTTTCATGCCTATCAATACGTCTCTGGTTCCGGTGTGCCTTGTCTGTTGCTGGTGATCGTCAGGACCATATGGGCCAGCGCCTCCCACATCTGGGTTACGCCCGGGCCCCGATTGATCGTACCAGGGATCGGAGAACTCTCCCATTGGTCGAAAATACGGATGCACATTTGGCGGTTGCGGGTGTTGTTGTGGTGGTGGTTGCTGTGGTCCATTGGGCGGGTGCGGTTGCGGCTGTTGTCCACTATTTCCATTGCGGACAAAGTTTTCGGGAGGTGGCCTACCGAACATTCGCCGATCCTGCTCCTGACTTGGGCCAGGAGGCTGCATGTGCTCCTGCATACCAGGCGGTGGCCTCTGATCCATCATTCGCCGACCCTGATGGTTCCATTGCTGTTGCTGTTGTGGTTGCTGCGATTGACGCTTATCAACCTGTTTGGCATCTGGCAAATGGCCAAACTGACGGGGCCTCTGGTTCCACCGTTCATCATCGACAACTTGGGCATCTTTCAACCCCAGTACAGGACCTTTCTGGGCTGCGGGATGCCTAACACCATTACGGATCACTGGGGTGTCATGTATTGGCCCTGCTCCATCCTCGGGTGCAAAGTTGCCTTCTAATTCCTCCAGCAACGATTCCGTGTTTTGTTTATCTTGATCCGGAGACAATCCCATAAAGGGATCTCGATCTCCCACGTCAATAACTTGTGCATCCTGAATATTGCTTTCCTTTACCATTTCCTTCTCGAAAACCGTCTTGCCTTGTGATCGCAGCCATTCATCTTGGATTCTTCTTGCATCCGGGCCACCCACCACTCGTTTGCGTCCTCCTTCCTGCGCTTTGCGTTCATGCACACCCGCAAATGGTATATTCTCATCCTGGATCCTTCGGACTTTGTACTGGTCCCGCATTTGTTCCTGTTGTTGACGCCATTCGTTATTGATCCTTGCTGCCTCTGGTCCCTTGACGCGTCGTACATTGTTGTCTTGTGGTGGTGTTTTTGGTGCGGCTGCGGCCGTCTCGGCGATTTCACGGGCGGGGGTCGTTGTTGTTTCGGCGGGGGTCGTTGCTGTTCTGGCTCGGCCCGTCTCATGTTGTTGGGGTGCGGGTGACGTTGCCCTCGTTGCGCTTCCTGTTGTCGGAGCCATTCTTCGTTGATCATTGTTGCTTCCGGGCCAGCGACCATTTTGGCATCGTGAATAATGTGGGAGTTACCATACTCCAGGAGTCTCGCGCTCTCCAACGACTGGAGCTTGTGCACAAGACCCTGGTTCATGGCTTCTAGTTCCCGAGCTTTGGACTGGAGTGACTCGTACTGGAATTCCAATTCTTCGATGCGAGGCAAGATAGCCTTCATGGCATTATCGGAATACTTGCCGAGTACGTCCACTTCAATGTTGACGGGGTCACCAATATCTTTGTCGGGCAGAACGATTTTCTTTTGCGTAAAATCTACCAGCATGAATGTAAACCAACTTTCTTCCTTGTCGACTTCACTTATGGTCAAACTAGTACCATCAATGGCGACAAATCCCTTTGGAATAATGTAGTTCATGATATCTCCCGGGGGGACTTTCACCTGAAAAAAGAGACTGTCACTCTCCTGCCATTTGTCGGTAATCTTGGCAAATCCGTCGACGTGTCCTTGTACAAAGTGTCCGGAATTGCGTCCTCCAATTTCACTGGCTCGTTCCAGATTGACCCTATCACCGGGATTCAGGGATGCCAAGTAGGTTCGTCTCGTGGTTTCTGGTGCCAAACCTACCTTGAAGGTGTTCTTGTCCTTATCCAAGTCCGTTGCTGTCAGACAAACGCCACTCACGCAGATATTGCAACTGTAAATTGATTGTTGCAGTAGGATTGGTGGAAGTTGTATAAGGTGAGAATCGGAGCAATCGGAACAACACAGAATGCTATCCAGTACTAGTACTTCTAACAAACTCTGTGTTGATTGAAATAGTTGGGGGTATATACCATACCATGCCACACTTACCCTTGATACGCCCCATTCATGATGGAATCTGCTTGCACGGTCAGTTCAGTTCCTTTTCCTTTGGATCCATCCGCCATTTCCATGTCGTTTCGTTCCTCCAAGGCCACCACGGTACCAATCTCATCGATAACGCCGGTAAACATGGCGTGACGGAGCAGCGAGGGTTCCGGGCATAATGGGAGATGTGCGTGTGAAAGAAATCCATCGGCCCATTGACACCCAAGGAGAACCAGAAGCAAGAGAAGGGTATTATCAAGAACGGGTGATCTCCTCCGGTCAATCTTCATCGTGTTCATCGATCGTGTTCGTATCATGGGTTGTGTCAGCTTGTACGGAAGAGGAGACTGCATGACCAGCCCAGTACCTACTGTACTGTACTGTACTTGAACAGATAGACAATGAGCACCACGAGAACGCAACAAGGCCCAATGCGGAATGCGGTTTGGTGCAAAGATCGATAGATAGATTTAGTGAGCGATGGGAGTGTGATGGTTCAATCGGTGTAGAAATTCGAATTGGCCATGGTCGACGAGAAAACGGGTTGTGGGACAGCTGGCAACCAAGGTCGTCAAGCTGCAATCGCAGCTGCAATCGCCCAATCAGTGACGCCGAATGACGCATTTGTAACACAGCCGAGCCGTTTGAAGATACAATTTCCTCCCAACTCTATCTTTTCAAATAACACGGAGACCGCGTTCACCGCGTTGACCAGCTTCAGCTCTGGCGAATATTGAGCTTCAGTTTCACTCAATGATTACTTGTTATGACCTTAAAAACTAGCGCGCCGAAGGCTTTTGCTTTTATTTACTGTATGCAAACATTTTCGGCATCCCTGGCTTCAGTTGGGAGCTTCGCTTGCATTACTTCGTCTGGATTATCTGCTGGTCAAAGTGCAGCTGTTTCAGGCATTGTTTGGTGACCTGCTATGCATGTACCGGTACCTACCGGTGCTGTACAAGTACATGTATTTGGAGGCTTCAAGCTAGCTACCGTATGATACAGGGATGCCTCAGCGGAAGCAGTGGTCTTCGGTCAGAATTAGGAGAAGTTATTCCACTACGGTATGACAGTTGCTGCCTGCAACAACCCAGAGTCTTTCCTCAGACACAGGAACAATCACAGCCACACAGGATCTCAGTACAGTCAAACAACAGGCCAAACGGAGCTTCGCATGGATCCAAGCTGTTTGGAATACATTCTCCAGTAATGTTGCAAATTGCTGGCGGTACAGTCCCCAACAATAATGCATTCCCTTGCAAGTTCAATGTATGAAGCGGTGCTATTCCATCCAAGGTTTGCTGGAGTAGCCCAAGCTGACTTGGAATGTGACCAGAGAAGTTGTTGTGCTCCAGTGATATCTCCCGCAAGTTTGTTAGTAGCCCAAGCTCGGAAGGAATCAATCCAGTGAATGTGTTGTTGCGGAGCACAAGAGAGATGGTCAAATTGGTGAGAAGGCCAACTTCACTTGGCAGTCCACCGGCGAACTGGTTCCCTCGCAAATTGAGCAATGACGAGGAGGAAAGCAGTCCAAGCTCGGTGGGAAGAGTACCTTCCAGCGCATTGTCAAACAGAGAAAGGATGAGGAGTGCAGATAGTTTTCCAACTTCAGTTGGGAAACTGCCTGAGAGTCTGTTTTCGTGCAGGAGTAACCATTCCAGAGACTCGAGCTGCCCAATCTCCGTAGCTATTGTGCCTGCAGAAAGCGATAACGAGGATCGATTAGCACAACATCGTCCAAAAGAACATCGCAACATAAATGCAAATGTAACTCACCGGAAAGGTTGCAATCGTCAAAGTTGAGCCACCGCAAGTTGCTCAAAGTCCCAATCTCTGTGGGTATACTGCCGTTCAACTCTGGATTTCGGGATACGATAAGGTCTTGCAGGTTGGTGAGCTGCCATAGTTCACTGGGCACGATACCTTGGTGGTTGTTGCCGGTCAACCCAAGGCCTCTTAGGTTGGTGAGTAGACCAATTTCTGTGGGTATCACCCCAGCGTTGTAAATAAGGTTAAACGCAAGTCCTTCCAGAGCAGTGAGTGCTCCAACATGGGTGGATATGGTTCCAACGAGTCGGTCGAATCCAATGGAAAGAGTCTTTAGCGACGTCAGCATGTACAGTTCTGCTGGCACTGAGCCAACAAGATTGTTCTGGTCCAACCACAAGTGCTGCACCGCGCCAACATCATTACATTTCGTAGGTGGAGGCTCAGAAGGGGGAAAGAAATCTTTGAGATACCCAGGATAGACCCATTTCAAGGTATCCTGCAAGGCTAAATCAGGTTTCATGTACCATTCACATTCATGAACAGAGTGGTTGAGCCAGTTGTCGTTGCTTTGCCAAAGCTCTCCACCAGTCGCAAAGAAGAGTGTTGACATGGCAAACCTCTGTTGTATTCTCTGATCTGTTAGATTCACGTTCACAACTGTGTCTTCCTGCAGCCATTGGAATGCCATGGATTGAGGTGATTCTACGTTTCCTAGGATAATGTTGATTGTGGTCTCCGGGAGCAGAGAAAGCAGGTAGTCTTGAAAGGACGAGGGTGCCTGGGATGGACTCACGGATGGTGCCATTGACATTGGTTCTTCAGAAGCCTCTTCAACCTTTCTAGGTAACAGTACCGCCAAGACGGTAACAACAATGGCAGTGATGCCTGCAAGAAGAATCCCCAGAAGAATGTTGGTCTTGACTTGTTTGGTTTGTTGCTTTCTCCTGTTGGCAGCTTCGGCATCATAGTTATCTGGTCGAACCAGATTCATACTGGGTCGAAAATCGGTGCTCTTCTCTTCGACAGGGTTGGCCGCTACCAACAAGCCATTTAAAACGTCGTTGGGCAATTCAGCATCATGAATGTGCTGTTCTACTTCGGAAATCTGTGGTGCAGCCGATGGACTGCTTTCCCAACTATCTGTATCGATAGATTCTTCTTCTCGATTGTTGGATCCCAAGGGATACATACGATGAGCTCCCGGGAGTGACTCGGGTTGAGGCCTGGGAGTTCGATCAAGTTGGGGCAGACCCATGATACCATTATTTGAGGATGATATCTCACTTTCCATCAATCTTGTTAGAGGAGAGGCAGGTTGGAATCCTGGATCCAATTGATGTCCAGCAACTTCACTCTTCTCGTTGGTGCCCTCCATCGAACCATACAAAATGTCCCTCTCAACGGCAATTCCCTCGCTGCACATTTGCAGTAAGTCCTTCTTTAGTGTAGTCTTTCCTCTGTCACCCACTTTTTCTGAGGGAATTGGTACATGTATACCGGTATCCCTTTCCTCCTCATCGTTGCTGATGGTATCGAGCCGACTCAACAGTTCTTGTACCACATCGACATCCACGTCTTGCTTCGCCTCCTTTTCATTCGCAACGGCAACCTCCATGGCTCAATCCTACCGGTATATCTACAACTAAATTAATGGATTATCTATAGTTGGGGTGAGTCGAAAACGACTTCGAGCCAAAATTGCAGGAGGGGCTGCCGGCGCCGAAGTCGAAAACGGATACTAACGTATTAGCTAAGTAGTCTAACCACATGTAGAGGAAGCCGGACACACATGGCAACGAATAGTAGAAGAGAAATTTTGGTACAAAAACGGCCTAATGTGACTGACTTCTAGGTCGTGTCATTAACTATTCACTTCTCTTCTCCTTTCAAACTTCAAACACGGTTGCATTAATTACCATGCTGACTTCAGACATGGTTGCTCTCAGACGTCCATCTTGCTGTTCCTGCTACCGGTATTGGTACCAGAACGACCACTGGATGGTGGAGCCTTACCATCGCCCATTCTTCCAAAGCGCCTGTACATCCACTCACCCTGGGCGTCAAGTCTAGCATAGAGTTGTCCCAACTTCTCGACAACAAACTTCTGGAAGCGCCTTTCATTCTGGCGATCTTCTTCAAGCATCATTTGAAGGTGCAACGTTTTATTGTGGGCATCAGCAGCATGGTCCTTTGCCACGTTCAACTTCGGAAGAACATCACTTTTGAATCGCTCGAGGCTTTCCTTTGTTGACTTGGTGATGGGGTCTCTAATAGACTTGACGAACTTCTTTCGAATGACGTTTTCGAAGTCATCCCCAATCTTCATGTCAATGACTGCTCTTACTTTTCCTTCGAAGTCCTCGGAAGAGGCATTTGTAATGCTGCCCTTGCTTCCTTCCTCTTCCTCGTCACCATCCTCGCTAACGTTGACATTGATGTTCTCCGGAACAGCTAGTAGTGTGTCGTTCTGGTCGGTCCCGGTCTTTCTCCTAAGTCGCCTGCTGTTTTCGGCAACTGACCCAGTCATGGTGGGCTTTCTCTTGGAAGCATTTTTGTTCTTATGGGCGCCGGTGTTGAACAGCGATTCCAAGTCAAAGCTGTCATCTGCATTCTGTTCAGTTGTCTCAGTTTCTGGGTGGACCATTGTTTTGGGGGGAACGAAGCTCTTACGCTTTATGTAGGTCTTTCCAGTGTAGGGGTTGGTACAAAATTCTGGTTGCCTGTATGACATTTCTAATCTTGAAGGCCCAAGTTTGTGGCAAGATGCAAGAAGTCAATTGCAAGAGTACTACGATTTGAATTAGAGCCAATTTGAACTTTTGAATCACTGTAACAGTAACAACGACCACACGAAGACTGCACGGCTTCTTGGAATTCTAAACATGGTTTGTGTTAGTTATGTGTTATCTGTTACTACGGAAGTCGGCCGTGTGGCAGGACGACTTCCTTGCTGCACCAGTATCCTCTGATTTGAATTGAAGTCGTACCCTCACAAACTGACTTTTGCACAGAAGTCAAATCATGGCCATCAATCTTAATGAGGACCACCGTGGTATCCCACCTCTGGTTGCACTCCAGAGGGTGTTTGACGATGATGTTAGAGCGGTGGAGTACCTGGTGGATGAGGGGTGCCTGTGTTATAGGCCGGTATTCATGACAGAGGCTATGATGCTATGATTGTAGAGTTCAGGTTGAGTACCAGTGTTCTAGTTATGCTGTGTTCCTGTGTACATCTACATGTATGCCATACTCACCCAGTATGAAACAGAAGGCTGAAACAGAAGGCTACCTATGGGAACAACCTAGATAGCTATCATAATTTATCTAAGCCACAAGTGTAAAGACACCTCCAGCAAACTTCGAAGTTAACGTCGAGGTGTGTGTGTGTCGTTCATCGTCGCATCGAGTTGAGGCTCGAGAATTGTTTGACAAAGACAAGGCATTGGAAACACTGCCGTCGTTCAGTCTGCGTCGTGCAAATCCGAAGCCGTGTTTTGCGACCACGAACAACAACAAAGTAATCCAGTCGTGGTTGAGTGACGTCATCACCGATCAAGTCACTGATCGTGAGTCCAGTCACATATCAATTGAGTCCAGTCGCACATCGAGTCAAGAGTCGGGAGTCAAACGTGATAAAGGCAAAATCAACGTCCCGTAACTCGAAGTCAAGTCAAGCCAAGTCAACGTCCAGTCAGTAGAGGCTAGTACAGTTCCTCTCTACCGGAGTCAATCCATCTAAGGTACAGACACAGATCTACAGTACCAAACCCAAGTCAAGTGAGTCCAGGTTAAGTTACCTGAGTGGCATCGTTTGTCAAAGAAGCCGTGCCAAGTACATTGCAAGCGTAGAAGTGTGGAGCCAAGTCAAGTGCAAACATCCGCAGTAACGCAATCAAGTTAAGGTCCAACAGAGTGCACCGAAGGATCTCAAGTTACTTGAAGAAGTCAACAGCAACGTGAATGGCTGAGCAAGTCAATCCAGAAAGTAGGACGTGGCAGAGAAGTCGAGGTCGATTAAGAAGGATTAGTGTGACCAACCAAGAAGAAAACGTGCAAAGTGGTACAGAAGTGGGTCAAGTTGAAGATACCCTAAGTGAAACTCAAGTCGAGATTGAAGAACAAAACGACAGTATGTCTGAAACAACCGACATTACAAAAGCAATAAGCAAGCCTCCAACATTTGATGGAAGCCCGGAGAACTACATGATGTTTATGATGAGGCTCCGTTCCTACTGTGCTATTCATGGGTGTTCTGAGGCGCTGTCTAAGGAGAATCATCTACCTGAGAAAGAAGTTGAACAGTCCGGTGATACAAAAGAGCAGAAAGCTGCGAGAAAACGCAATCTACTAGCCATGTGGATTCTGCAAGTGTCCCTCACCAATGAGATGTTGTTCGGACTTATCTTTGCGGCCATTACAGTGAACTGGCCAAGTGGACTAGCGTATCTAGTCATCCAAGGACTTGAAGAAAGATTCCGTCCTAAGGATACAGTCAGTCGAGTGGAACTCCGTTTGCAACTGTCGGCATTGTCCATGAAGAAGAAAGAAGATCCAGTTGTCCTATTCAACAGAGTCAGTGAAATCGAATGTCAATTCTGGGATCCAGTCAAGCAGACCAAGATCAACCAGTCAGAACTCATATCAGCCGTCATTACAGCAGCACCAGAGCAGTACCAGTCTATCATTGCCGCGCAACAGCATGTCAAAGGTGCCAACCTGAAACTGCAAGACCTATGTGATGTCATGCATCAGCACTGGAGAATGACGGAAGGAAAACGCCTGATGAGTGGAGCCAGGAAGGACAGCAGTGATGAAGAGAATGAAATGTTATTGTCATCCCAATGCAAGTTTGATGAAGGGTGTGAGAGATGTGGTAGACAAGGTCATATCGAAGCAAACTGTTGGGACAATCCAATCAACAAGAAGAAGAAACCAAGTTGGTTCGTAGCTTCCTATGAGAAAGAAGCAACAACCGAAGAAATCAGTGCAGGATTTGAAATACTGAGTTAGGAAGAGCCCAATGCTGCCTACATTTCTAGAAGTCGAAGAGGGGAATGAAAGCAGAAGAGGGAATCCAAAGTGAATCTACAATGTTACATGTCAAGAAGAAGAGTCAAGAAGAAGAGTGAGTGGTTCAGTCTAGTGGAGAAAACAGGGTGTTACAGGCAAGAGCAATCAAAGGAGAGCAATCAAAGCCACTGGAAGAGGGTGTTATAGGCCGGTATTCATGACAGAGGCTATGATGCTATGATTGTAGAGTTCAGGTTGAGTACCAGTGTTCTAGTTATGCTGTGTTCCTGTGTACATCTACATGTATGCCATACTCACCCAGTATGAAACAGAAGGCTGAAACAGAAGGCTACCTATGGGAACAACCTAGATAGCTATCATAATTTATCTAAGCCACAAGTGTAAAGACACCTCCAGCAGCCTGAACATCCCCGATGTTTGTGCTCAGTGCAATGCTCCGGTGACTTATCGTTCTAACAGCAAAAACCTAGTGTACTGTAATAGTCGTCAGTGCAAGGCCAACCACGGCAAGCGCTGGACTCAGTCCATCATGGCCGGCACCTTTTTCAACACGTGTAGAATCCCAATTGGCAAGGTTCTTTTTTTCTTGTACCTATTCATCTGTGGCACCACGTACACTGCTGTTAGAAGTATGTTTCATTGGTCGCCCAACACTGTCACCGACTGGTTTCGTTTCGCCCAGCAGCTGATCGGTGAAGTCGTCCTTGAGACGATGGAGAACTACCAGATAGGTGGCATTGGTGTAGAAGTCGAGATTGATGAGTCCAAATTTGGCAAAAGGAAGTACCATCGCGGTCATAGGGTTGATGGTGTCTGGGTCTTTGGTGGAGTGGAAAGGACCCCTGAACGTAAGTGCTTTCTTGTCGCTGTTGAAGATAGAAAGAAGCCAACCTTGGAAGCCTTAATCGAGGAGTTCATTCTCCCTGGTTCCATCATTGTCAGCGACAAGTTCCCCTCATACGAGGATCTAGAGGGCAAGGAAGACTTTTGGTATCAACATGAGGTTGGTAAGTTGAAGTCAATCCCGCGATTCGCTTGTGTTCTCGCCAACTGTGATTAACTTTGTACTGTTTTTTGTATAGTCAACCACTCTCAGAACTACAAAGATCCGATCACAGGTGCCTGCACGAACACTATTGAAGGCACCTGGAACGGTGTCAAGAAGCTTGTTCCGGCAAGAAAGAGGACACAAGAGGGCGTTAAGCCCTGTTTGTTCGAATTCATGTGGCGTAGGATGCACAGTGGCCGTCTCTGGAGGGCCTTGTTGGAAGCCCTGGCCACTGTTCGTTATGTGTAGATTGAAGCCTGATCGGGTTTCCACAGAACAGTGGAAGTCCGATCACACTTCCTAGTTTATTTAACGTTTTAGAATTCCCCTTTCTTTGTTGGAGCGACTTCCGCTGGCTTTTTTAGTAAACGTATTTCTCATCTCGATTTTAGTAATTAGCACTAAGTATAGTTATGCTATATACAGATCTATAGATTATAAAGTCGTTGTCCTGGCCGGTGCGCCTCACCCCAACTATAGATAATCCAAATTAATTGTTTTCTCTCGGCCCGGCATTTTCTGTGGCCAAACCACGATCATGGCCCTGTCAGCCATGCAAGGTGTTCTCACCGTGCAGACCGTACGGTACAACATGTGTTGTGGTGTTGTCGTGGCCAAGAACTCTGCTGTCTGCATGATTCTGCGTGTCTGCATGCTGTTTTTGTATTTTGACTGACAGCTTTGAAGTTCTTGTAGCACGGTAAACACACACACATAAATGATTTATTTTACTCCAACTCACTATTCTGCAAAGAGTTTTTCCCTCCATTCCCTCTGTTTTTATTAAGAAATTAGGTGAAGAATCACGCTCATCGTACTGTACGGTAGGCGAAAATCAGGTATACCTCCGATGAAGGAGATAGGACACTTGTATGAGGGAAGGGTGGCTCCATACAACGATCTTACCGGTAGCCGAAGATATCTCTTCTAGTTTTTCGTGGCACTACGCTGATACGAGTCGAGTCGCGGACTTATCTAAGGTACCATGGAGTCTTTGATTGTGGTTGGCACGAATTGAAGGAGCAACGAGCGAAAAATGGAGCGGAGAAGACCTTTGTATATGAGTGATGAATCAAATCTATCGAATCGAAGGAGGCGGCAAACTCCGGCGACGAAGGTAAAGAAGATTCTTGGACGATTCATGAATTACAGCGAGTGCATTCGTATCCAATGCTACCACGCCGACACCTCAGTGTGACGAGATCTTCGCTCACTAGGCTCGACTCGTCGTCTGCTCGATTGAATCGTTGAATCCTGTCGATTGGAACTCGAGCCAAGCACCCTCGTACAGCACGAAACTCCGACCACAGACGAGGAAGTGGGACCGTGCCGGAGAGTACGACTGGCGTAGGCCACAAGATACAGACCGAGGGCATTTATCTACTTTTAGTTGCTGGTCAAACTTGCGTAGACTCGACTCGATTGATCCATTTCGTGCAGCCTTGGGCACTTGGGCGCCGCACATCTCGATGCCCAATATGCTCTCTTTCAGCAGGACTGGGCTCACATGGAGATGTTCAGACCGGATCCTTTGAAACTTTGTGGTGGGACCAGGAAACACGAAAACAAAGTAGCTCCAAACGAAGACGTTTGTTGTTGCTGCTCTCATTATTATGTCTGAGCTCCATTGTCGTTCCAGCTCCGCGACGAGACCATCCCTCCTTGCGAAGACACGCCTTTGAAGCAACATGAGCGAGAGTTTCTGCAGCTGCCTGGCAAAGAAGATTTATCCCTCGCTGAGATGGGGGTCAGAGGGTACGAAATCTCACAAGTATCTTCCACGAAGCACAACCATCGATAGTGAAAGTGACATCCCTCTCAAGGTAGTTTTGCTGGGTGGTGGCATTGTGAGTATGGTTGCTGCCCTCCGAATCAAGGAATTGCGTCCTGATTATGAGGTTTCGGTCGTCGTGAAGGACAGCTTCCCAAGCTTTTCCACTGGAGGGATTCCGTTCTACCTTGCTGGCAATGTTCCCGGAGGGCACACAAGCTTGGCACATCACACTAAAGATGAAATCTTGGCCCGTGGTGTGAAGCTCTACCTTGAAACCACTGCACTGTCTGTGAACAAGGAAGACAAGACTGTGTTGCTCAAGGACAACACCGATTCCGCCGAATTTGAGCTACCCTTTGATAAGCTTGTGATTGGCACAGGAAGTCGCCCAGTCAAACCAAAAGTTCCAGGTGTGGATCTACCAAATGTTTTCTTCTTGAAGACCATTTCTGATATGTGTTCCGTTGAGGAGCATTTGAAGACGGGGAATCCCAAGTCGGCTGTCATCGTTGGTGGTGGTTATGTTGGCTTGGAAGTATCGGAAGCTCTTGTAGCCAAGGGCATTCAAACAGCTGTGGTGGAGAAGAACAGCCACATTCTCAAGACATTTGATGAGCAACTGGGCCTCATTGTCCAAGACAAGCTGGAAGCCCATGGCGTCCAAGTTGTCCATGGCAAAGGTGCCAAGTCCCCTGTGGTGAGCATTGAGCCAAACTGCCAGCACGAAGAAAGCAAGTTACTTGTCAAGACTGCTCAAGGAGCAATTGTCCAGGGAGATATGGTCTTGGTTAGTGTGGGCGCCACCCCCAACTCAGACATGTTCCCAGGTGAAAAGACAAGCAATGGTGCCATTGTGGTCAACAAGAGGTGTGAAACCTCCATTCCAGATGTCTATGCAGGAGGGGATGTTGTGCAAACTCATCACTTTGTGACTGGAAAGCCTGTGTACTTCCCAAATGGGACAGTTGCCCACAAGCATGGTAGGATCATTGCTGAGAATATTTGCGGCATGCATGTGGAGTATGTGGGAACAATCCTTACTCAGACTATGAAGTTGTTTGACATGGTTGTCACTAGGACAGGCCTTTCCCAAGCTGAGGCCCTGGCTGAAGGTTTTGATGCTGCCACTGTTCAGGTGAAAGAAAATGATCATAATCACTACATTCCACCCTACTGCATGCTCGAGATAAGGTTCACAGCAGAGAAGACCACTGGCAAGATCTTGGGTATTCAAGTGCTTGGTGATTGCAAAGCAGAGGTCAGCAAAAGGGTTGATATTGTGGCAGTTGCCATTATGAGAGGTGTCACTGTGGATGAGTTCATTCAAATGGATCTTTCCTACACCCCACCCTTATCTACACCTTGGGATCCTGTGGTTTCAGCTGCTCAAGCCTGGCAGCGCCAATTCGTGGAACTCGTGAATTGAGAGCAACTAGCTGGATGACTAATTTTGGAAGCCATTGTTTCAAAGAATAGAAGTCTAAATGAATACGGTAGACTGATTTTGTTGTCTCTAGAGGCTGGTCATCAGGACCAGCACACGTAGGTGCACCCACATGATCTTTTGCTTTGAATTGTCACGTTCTTCGAAACCACATCGGTTGGCCTCTCGGATCCACCCGCAGGCATGCACCCAGCCCCCTTTCCACGGTTTCGCGGTTTCGTATGGATATAGATTAAGCCAGCAGAAGCTGCTTGGCAAGTTACATTTAAAAAAAAAATTGAGAAACAGCAAAGCAATAACCTCACTTTGTCGCAGCGAACGAAGCAAGGTGTCAACATGGGAGACAGAAGACCTTCCCTTACCAACCAAATGATTGTGAAACCCTTTTGGAAGGCAGCAACTTGGTTTGGGATTCGAAAATTGACGGGGACACTGCAGGGCTTTGTTGGTCCCTACAGCGACACACTCACCCACTTTGACACAACGGCACCGATTGTGGCCCTCACGATTGACGATGGCCTGAGTCGAGGAGGTCCTGATGTTTCCATGGTTCAGGATGTGCTACAAGTTCTGAAGAAATACGATGCCACAGCCACCTTCTTTGTCTGTACAGAATACGTAGAAGACCAGCAAGATGATGTGATGGCACTCTTAGAGGCTGGGCATGAGCTAGGAAACCACATGCAAGAAGATCTGTCGATGCACTATTTTCGACTACCCAAAGAAGAGTTCCAAAAGCAGCTACGGGATGTGAATCAAGTATTAGACGAACTGGAGCAACGACAACAACAAAAATCTACCGAAAACTCTGTGGGAACGAGAAATCTGCGGTGGTTTCGGGCTCCCCAGGGCATTTTGACATCCAGCATGAAACAAGCCATGGATGATGCACCCATCCCAATGCAGCATGTTTTGGGGGATTGTTACAGTGATGATTGGAAATTTGCTCAAGATATGGACAGCACAACACCAGAAGACTTTGATGCTGAAAACTGCCGTGCTGTCATGGATGAAATTGGTCAAGTCATGTTGAAACAGGCACAAGAGGGCAGTATTGCCATTTTTCACATGCCGCAAAGAGGATTTCGACAAGGAACACTCTATGCATTGGAGTATTTCTTGCAAGGGATACAAGATAGAGGATGGAAATGTTGTAGTTTGACAAACATGCAACAAATGATAGAGAACAACGAGAAACAAGCAGACGAAAAGCCATCAACGGCAGAGACAGCATGATGACTCCAGGAACCAGCTAGCTGTTTGAAGTTTTTTCAAATTCATACTAGATCTATGGACATGGTTATTACCAATCTGTCGAATGGTGAACTTGTGATAATTGCTGTGCAAGGAACCTCCTCCATTTGTCAGCCTGGGTTTGGTGGTAATGGAAATGGAGGCAAACATGAAAGCGTCGTCTGGGCCAAGCCTCCCCGAATGATGAAATGACAATCCATTTAAAATAAAGCATAGCTTGACAACGAGATCAGATTGGTGGGGGCTTGCCATGGAGCGCACTTTTGCCGCTGGGACAATTGCCTCGCAAAAGAAATGGTACCTTCGGTAGCGTTGCCATAGTGAAGCATTGCTCGCTCATCGTTCACAGTTCTTGATGAAGACATGAGAGAAAACAGTTAGTTTGGAGTCGAGTCCACTTCTTCGAGATACATGTAATACTGCCGGAACGTCACCGAAAAGAGACGTACAATACGGGGCACCGTACGGTAGGTGCTACGGGTACCGAGACCCCTCACTGTTTGTACAAGTCACGGCAGCGTAGACTTTACGAACGTTCCTGTGTACTCCGGCCTTCCGAGCTTTTCCGAGGATAGGGTCCGCTCTAACCACACAGTAACCGTGTCATCATTGCTTCAGTTGGGAGCTTCGCTTGATTCGTTTGATTCTTTTGAAGAATGCATATGCTGGGCAAAGTTCAGTGTCCTTGGTGACCTGCTATCCACGTGGCTACCGATCATGAACTAAAATTTTGAGGCTTCTAGTACATGTATGATACAGGGTTTCCTCAGAGGAGTGGTCTTTGGCCCGAATTAGGATTTAATTAGGATTTATTCCACTACCGTATGCCAGTTCCTGCCTGCAACAACCTAGAGTCTTTCCTCAGACACAGGGACAATCACAGCCACACAGGATCTCAGTACAATCAAACAACAGGCCAAACGGCGCTTGGCATGGGTCCAAGCTGTTTGGAATGCATTCTCCAGTAATGTTGCAAATTGCTGGCGGTACAGTCCCTGACAATAATGCATTCCCTTGCAAGTTCAATGTATGAAGCGGTGCTACTCCGCCGAACCATTGCTGGAGCAGCCCAAGCTGACTTGGAATGTGACCAGAGAAGTTGTTGTGCTCCAGTGATATCTCCCGCAAGTTTGTTAGCAGCCCAAGCTCAGAAGGAATCATTCCAGTGAATGTGTTGTTGCGAAGCACAAGGGAGATGGTCAAATTGGTGAGAAGACCAACTTCACTCGGCAGTCCACCGGCGAACCGGTTCCCTCGCAAATTGAGCAATGACGAGGAGGAAAGGTGCCCAAGCTCGGGGGGAAGAGTACCTTCCAGCGCATTGTCAAACAGAGCAAGGAGCAGGAGTGCAGATAGTTTTCCAACTTCAGTGGGGAAACTGCCTGAGAGTCTGTTTTCGTTCAGGAGTAACCATTCCAGAGACTCTAGCTGCCCAATCTCCGTAGCTATTGTGCCTGCAGAAAGTGATAATGAGGATCCATTAGCACAGCATCGTCCAAAAGAACATCGCAACATAAATGCAAATGTAACTCACCCGAAAGGTTGCAATCGTCAAAGTTGAGCCACCGCAACTTGCTCAAAGTCCCAATCTCTGTGGGAATACTGCCGCTCAACCCTGGATTTCGGGATAGAATAAGGTCTCGGAGGTTGGTGAGCTGCCATAGTTCACTGGGCAAGATCCCTTGATGATTGTTGTCGGTCAATCCAATGCCTCTTAGGTTGGTAAGTAGACCAATTTCGGTGGGAATCGCCCCAGCATTGTAGATAAGGTTAAACGCGAGCCCTTCCAGAGCAGTGAGTGCTCCAACATGGGTGGATATGGTTCCAACCAGCCGGTCGAATCCAATGGAAAGAGTCTTGAGCGACGTCAGCATGTAGAGTTCTGCTGGCACTGAGCCAACAAGATTGTTCTGGTCCAACCACAAGTGCTGCACCGCGCCAACATCATTACATTTCGTAGGTGGAGGTTCGGAAGGGGGGAAGAAGTCTTTGAGATACCCAGGATAGACCCATTTCAAGGTATCCTGCAAGGCTAAATCAGGTTTCATGTACCATTCACACTCGTGAATGGTGTGGTTGAGCCAATTGTCGTTGCTTTGCCAATTTTCGCCACCAGTTGCAAAGAAGAGTGTTGACATGGCAAACCTCTGTTGTATTCTCTGATCTGTTAGATTCAGGTTCACCGCTGTGTCTTTCTGCAGCCACTGAAATGCCATGGATTGAGGTGATTCTACATCATTTTCTAGTAGGATACTGTTGATTGTAGTCTCTGGGAGCAGAGAAAGCAGGTAGTCTTGGAAGGACGAGGGTGCCTTGGAAGGACTGACGGATGATTCCATTGACACTGGTTCGTCAGAAGCCTCTTTGTCTGTTCCAGGTAACAGTACCACCACGACGGTAACAACAATGACAGTGACAACTACTGCCACAAGAATCCCCAGAAGAATGTTGGTCTTGACTTGTTTGGTTTGTTGCTTTCTCCTGTTGGCAGCTTCGGCATCATAGTTATCTGGTCGAACCAGATTCAAACTGGGTAGAAAATCGGTGCTGTTCTCTTCGACGAGGTTGGCCGATACCAACGAGCAATCTAAAATGCTGTTTGTCAATTCAGCATCATGAATGGGCTGTTCTTCTTCTCCTTCGTGGGCAACCTGTAGCGAAGCCGGTGGACTGTTCTCCCAGCTATCAGTATCAATAGTTTCTTCTTCTCGATTGTTGTATCCCAATGGATACATACGATGGGCTCCTGGGAGTGACTTGGGTTGAGACCTGGGAGTCCGAACCAGTCGAGGCGGATCCATGATACCATCATCTGGTTGGAATTCTGGATCCAATTGATGTCCAGGCGCTTCACTTTTCTCATTGGCGCCCCCATTTGATCCCAACAAGATGTCCCTCTCAACCGCAATTCCCTCGCTGTACAATTGCAGTGCGTCCTTATAGAGTGTTGTCTTTCTTCTGTCATCCACAGGCACAACCCTCAACAGCTCTTGTACCGGTACCCCATCAACATCCACTTCCTGCTTCCCCTCCTTTTCATTCGCAACGGCAACGTCCATGGCTCAATCCTATCGTATCGACTTCTCATAGCTTGGCATTTTCTGTGGCCACCAAACCGCGATATCGGGCAGGTCGGCCATGATGGCGTCCTGTTTTTCTACCCCTTTTGGAGTGGTGTTATCGGTATGGTGTCCATGCTTACTATTCATATGCCCCCTGGGTCGTCTCCGTTTCCAGTACTAGTTTAACTTGTCTACTAATACAGGATAATGGTGAATAGAATCGAATGAATCATGTGGCCTATATTTAGGGTTTAGGTTTTGCAATGGCAATTTTGAAGTCAACGTGTGTTAAGTGGAGGGTTGGCTCGCTTCCGCTGGAGCTTGGTGTCTTCTTTTCCTCTGTTTCCCGCTCTTCGTCGGAACTGGGTATTCGGTAATAGGATCGTGAGCAAGTTCGGCAGCTTTCTTCATACCTTGTGAGTGTCATCATTCTGACATTCGCAGGTGATACTTTGGCCGACGTGGTTCGTGGAACAGGTGGGCGGGAGATGACGTATTTGGTTGCATTGGAACTGGGAATGGTTTGCGAATAATATTGGGAGTCCAGTATTGAGGATTTTAAAGTGAGGGCACGGGGATTTATACGGGAAGCATACTGTAGGAGACTTACCACCGTTCTCTGCTGGTACTTTTCGAGAAGAGTTCCCAAGAAGGGGCCTCAAAGTTCACTGCCGGGGGTGTAGTACAAAACCATGGGGAAGGGCAGTGTGCAGCTTGAAGGCGAATGTGGAGTAGAGGTGGGGGCGGGGATGGTGTCGTGCGTAGTGGCTTGTAATAATGTTCGACGGGCACCAGTGATGGCCGCATGCGACCGAAGTCCAATGCATCCAAGGTTGTTTCGGTGAAATCCACGGACGTAAGACGTGAAGCCGGGAGTTGCCACGAGGCCAAATAGAGATACACATGGCCCTTGTCGTCCTTGAGGAATTCGGATACAGTGCGGTATTCGCTTGATCGATCCAAGAAACCGTCACAAGGTGAGTCAAGATGTCGGAGTGGGTGATCAGCTCACTCCAGGTGTCATGGACTTGTACCACTTGTCCTGTTCGTCGAGAACTAGGTTAGGTTCATCCTTCTTTTCCGGGTCGTACACGTATTGCATGTAGGCCGGTTTAAGGTTTCATTGAACCACTTAAGGCCATTTCTGGGGTTGGGATCTGGGTAAGAAACGTTCACCAGTTTGTCCGTCAACTTTACCTCTGGGGCACATGATAAAAAAGCCTCTTTGGTCATAAGCAGTACCGTTGTGTGGCCTCGTACATAAGGAGTTTTCCCCATCAGCAGAAGCGGGTCCACCAATTTGAATACCCACTCGATCATGTGCCTGTCAGCGAGGGCTTGAAAAAAGGCCATCATGTCTTTGGTTTTAACGCCGTTGACGGAGTGTCTTTGCGTCGGTTGTACATAAGACCCGGTAGCTTTCTTTTCAACAAAGCTGTGAACTTGAGAACATTCCGGGGAAGGGGTATCTTCGTCTCCTTGAGGTTGCTGGGAATTCAGCGTGGAACTCACAGGAAGTTGAAAGGACCTCTTGCTTGTTGCCGCCGGCCTTTTTCTTCTTGCTTTGATACCGCGGAAGTAGGGTTCGATTGCGACGACGTGTGTGATGTCGGGTGTTTGGGAAGACATGGTGAAGGAGTTCTGAAAACTTGAAGTCCGAAAGGGAAGGTGAGTGGCATGTTGAAAGGCAAAACCTTGTCAAACAGAAGAAGGTAAAATAGAAAGTACTTACGTGGACAGGAGAGATGGCTGATGGGTTGGCTGCTAGGTAGGATGAGGATGTTTGAGGTTTTGCTGAACCGATTTGTGACTGTTTCAAGATGATCGATGCGATAGGAAGGTGCATATATACATTTTCAATGCAAAAAGTATATATAGAAAGCGGGGATGTCTTCGCCTGAGTGTATTCGCTGATACGATTGAGCGGAGATCGTGTAGCCTGGCTTGTAATCCTATAGTGAAACAGTTCTTTCCTCTGGGGGGG